CTGGCATCTCCTGTATGCTGTGAATTTGAGTACATTGCCCAGCTGTAAACTGGCTTCACTTTTTTTCTTCATCTGTAGGATACAGACCACATGTGAGAGTGTTTCCATCCTTAATATCCAAAAAGAATATTCAACAAAACTGTGCCGAGTGGATTTCAATGTGAGTTTATTCCATTTCTAATACACTTGTACAACTGAATTATGCAAAAGATAAAGATACACTCAAATATTATACTTGTAACTAACAAATTCTAAAACCCTAAAAGGCTATGACTGAACTCAGATTTGCAAAAAAATACTGCAAAAGACTGAGACAAACCAAAATCGAGGCAAGTGACCTTTTAGTGAACATCCATAAGCATATTCAAGAGTGCTCACCGCATCATTCAACTAATTTATTCTTGTTTTCCTCCTTACCATGTTCCCACCAATAGCGTAGCTCCATTTTCTGCCGATGTAAACACACACACAACCCACAATTTCTCAATTCGTTCTGAAGAAGAGCTAACGCTTCAAACGTCAGCTTTAGAAATTCCAGTTTATATCAATCAATTTACATTATCAAATCAGTCGATAAAACGAAATTATCTTGCTATACTTTCCAACGACACAGCACCGCAGTTTCTTCAGAAACTTACCCTCCTTTATTCATAAGTCATGATTGGTTTTTTAGTCTTGCATCTGATTGTATCTGATCTTCAACCGTTTCGTTTACATTATCAATTCAGTTGATATAACCAAATCATCCACTCACGACTTAGTTGGTTGTTTTCCCGCACTTTCGGCCATCTGGTTGTTCTTTGCGCTCTCATAGGTTCCTTGTGATATTTTGCTTTCTTCTGATTGGCCGTTGATATTGCTTTGGCTTTGGTTTTACGACACTCAATAGAAAAGTGCTCTGAGTATTTTTAAAAAGGAGTTGGTTGACACAACTCTTCAAAGAAAAAACTTGTGCCTTTTTACACCCCATAACGACCCCGTCTCTCCTAGTGGTAGTTCTAGGGAGATTCGATAGTACCTGTTTTCCAGCTGTTAATGTTCTTCTTTCATACAAAATGTATTCTAATAGGCAAGTGATCTAATTCGCAGGTGTGTTCTTGGTTTCTTGTTTGCATGAACTAACCGGCAACTTCTTCATGTTAGGTGTATCAAGGATGTAACAGCTGCAGTGAGTAATCTGCTGAAATACGTGGGCAGTCTCAAAGGCTTGGCCTCTATACGAGATGCAGTGTGGGACCTGCTCAATCAGGTACTGTGGATATTCGGATTATTATAGCAGTTAAGTGAATAATACAAAACCAGAGTTTTACATGTGGCGGCCAGAAACTTTCACATTTTATGGGAGACTGCTCTTTCTCAAATTGAGTTGTGATGCCGTTCATACTTGATCCACCTCTGTGTAAAAGAAAATTACACGAATGAGGGTGGAGATAATTTGTGCCTCATTTTAGCTTCTCCGTTAGTCTGCAGTTTCAGGTTTTGGTGTCACTTCTAGTGAAATTATGGACTATGTTGTCCTCGCGTTACCCGACGATTATTGATCACTGTAATCTCGCATAGTTTGTTCGATTCTCAAATGAATGGTTAATGGCTGAAAAAATTCTGTTCAGTGGAATCATTGAGCGTACATTACTAAAGTTTCAATCACGATTCGACGCTGTGTCAGTTTGAGGTGAAGTTAAGAGCGCCGCATGGACGTAAACTAACTTGTATAGAGAGAGGGAATTCCATAGTCCTCATACAGAGTGAAAGATAAGTTTGTAACTGGTTGTTGTACAAGCGTCCCAATAGGTTTCTCTCTGTTGAAATTCCTTTCCAGACCAGTGCTGCCTCAGGAGACTGCACCCTTGACTGGTCAGCTGTTTGTAACAGCATATTAGGACGTGATTTATCCATATGGAATGAGTTTCTTCAAAGTCCTTTCCTCTCTAGAGCTCAGGTATGAAGTACGTGTATTGTCTTCCCAATAGTAGTAAACGCCAAAATGAAAAAGTTTTCTAGGGGACCTGTGCGCATATGAATGTCAGAAAAAATTAAAAGAGAAGAAAGATTCGAGGAAAAATTAAATAAGTAGAAGTGAACTGGAAGAAACTGTTCCTTGATCTCTCTCTCTCTCTCTCTTCACACGAACATTTGTTTCCACAGAGACAGATGTGAAGTTCTGAAGGAAGCTTGTTTTGGCGTCCCATCTTCTGTTTTCCAATGAATAGACTAAATTGGATTTGAAATATTTTGCGTACCACTGGAATATACTGGCTACTCTCCTTAATCTTTTCTATTCGGTCTTGATCTAAATATTTTCTGAATGATTTTCGTTACATTGTAGGATATTTTGCGAAGTCTATTCGATGCCACGATGTCATCATGTAAGAACATGATTACTAACACACTAGATGAGATCTCTGATCACAACACTAACACCGACCTCAATGTACTCTGGGAAAGAGACATAGCGATGTATGTTTGGCAGGAGTGTTCAAATGATGTCCCTAGAACAGTTTGGCGGGGATCACAGGCAAACAATGCAGCAAATAACGAGCAAGAAAGCGGTCTTGCGCTGAAAGCACGAGTTTGCACTCCTGCTGTACAGAGGTAACATACTGCGGGCTTTGTATCACGCGATTGTTGGCCAGGGTGACCGGACAAGTCATTGTTTAAATTAGTAACTTGAAATTTTATTAAACCGTTGTTGACATGTTTAAAATACTTAAACAAGGTATACAATTTTCGTAATTTAGCATCTTGAACAGACTTAAGCGGTAATGGGACAAGCGCTTGACCATCAACATCTAGTCGCAGGAACGGTATTTTGGAATTGAATAATCGGTCTTCAAAATAGGGAAGCGAATGGAAGTTCGATTCAATCGGGACAAAATGAGCTGGTTCGGCAGTGTATGGCTTGGTTCCTCTTTAGATTATCCAAATATTTACAGAATAGAGGATTTTCTCCGTCCATTGTTCTTTTATGTTATGGTTACCACCGTATGACGAGTAATTCTTTTGCAGATTATGTAAAGCAGTTGACGAGAAGTTAGCTGCAATTCTTGAAGACGCTCAACACTTCATGTTTGATGTGCAAAAAGTCTCAGGTCCAGACCTGACCAAGAGAACGCCAGTTAGGAAAGCGTTCGAGTTGTCTTTGCTTAACAAAAACAAGACAACATCTGAGGAAACAGAACCATTCGATCGCTTTGGCACCGCAGGTGAAATCCAATCTTTCCTGCGAGAAACTTGCTTTTCTGCCTTTAGCCAGTAAGTAAGATATTAATAAAAGGTTCTTAAGAAGACAATTTGCTTCTGGAGCATATCAGTTTAGGTAATAAGGGAACCAGGCATGGGGGAAGCTCGAAAAATTTGCTTATACTATATCTTTGGAGAAAAACATACAGCAGCTGCTCTTGTGAGTGAAAACGTAGAAGCGGTTGACGCGCGCGCGTCAAAGCGGAGTCCAATACCTCTACTAACTACACCCAACTTTGTGTATCACGAGTGCGCACAATTGCACCCTTGCCCATGACAGAGAATGGAAGGTCTAAATAATTAGTAATCTAACTGAATGCCTTAAGTAATTTATTGATATCAGAGCTCCTTGGGAAAATTAATTTTATGTGAGTATTATAATCTATGAAATGGAAACTGGTACAGGCAAGAGTCATCACTTTTCTCAGTTATGTACTGAAATGAAGATGTCGATGTCGTTTTTTTTTTGTCAGTGTTTGTTTTGAAGCTTTTATTAATTAGAAAGAAAGTAAAAAGTCCATTTTGTTTTGGTTAGTTGTTGTAGTTCGGTATGGCGTACCTTATTGTTCATTTTTCTTTGAATCCTTTTTTATTTCATACATACTGAGATTTGCACTGTGAAGTACTATCGTTCTTGTCTCTGATTGGACGAACGATGTATTTTCACAGTCGTTTGCGTCCGATCTATGTCAGTCATTGAGAAAACATCCCAGTATGTATAAAATAAAAACATCTTACCATGGAAAGTGCTTGAACGATTTTTATTCACTCGTTTCGATGCATCGAGAAACTCACTCGTTCGCTGCGCTCACTTGTTTGTTTTTTGTTTTTTTTTATTCATCGCAACTCGTGAATAAAAATCGTTCGTGCGCACTTTCCATCGGATAATCTCCAAATCACTTCAGCGATAATAGCATAGTCCGAATCAACAAGAAACTATCAGTTATGTGAATAATTCTGCGAAGGTATTCAAGGGATGTTCTTGCTTCTCTTCAATAGTATAACACTCTCGTGCGTCTTGAGTGCTTAGATTTTTATTTGTTCTTTTTATTCTTTAGGTTGTTGCAATATATTGACGACATCGTAACCAATCTTACAAGCAAATTGAAATTAGAACCAGAGGAAGTATTTACGACGAGATCCCAATCATTGTTCGACACAGTGTGTATTGACAGGTAATAATACGTTGCTGTTCACTACTTGTGGTGCTGCATCGGTGGGGGATGGGGAGGGAGGGGGTTTGGGGAGGGTGGTATAACAAGATAATTTGGTTTTATTAACTGAGTTCATAATGTAAATTGGCCACCATGAAGAGTTTCTAAAACTGACGTCTCGCTCTGACGAAGGGCTAACGCTCGAAACATCAGCTTTTGACATAATCACCTTAGTTGATAAAAACTAATTATATTTTTAACTTGATTATTTTAGTGCGCCTTTCAAAAACAGGCACATTCTGAAGCTGTGACTTAAATTTGAACGTGTGTTTTTGTTTTCTGTTGTCAATCATCTGAACCCAGAATAAAAGACAAAGTGGGTTGAAATCGCGATTTAGGAACATCATCTTTTGAACCCAGAGGTCTGGAGTGAAACGCGTTTCCGTTATGCATCTACTTATCAAAGGCTCATACGTTATCGAGAAGTACATTTGGTACAATTTCTAGCCTTGTGCTAATTTTTGTTGTAGTTACCTAAAAATAAAAGTAAAAGTCGACTGAAAGAACTCTATAAGATTTCGAGATCTCGATTTTGCTTGAAAGCTTCAAAGCATACCGAGCGATTCACAACAGAATACCCGCCAGAGCTGCGACGGGTGCTGGGTCTTATTGATAGCACCGACATGATGTAATGATGTTTTTCCTCTGTGTTTTGTTTCTGTTTGTGTTTTGATTTTTTTGTGTGTGTGTCACCAAGGTAAATATTCTCTCAGTTGAAATCAGGTTTTTTGTCTGCAGAGTTCTATTCCTTGGTCGACTGTGTCACTCTTTTACTGAACAGTGCAGTAATATCAAGCTGGTCATGGAGGGACAAGCAACAGAGACAAAAGGTCGAGCAACGCCAAGGTTAGTGTTGATTTACCTGGTTATTAATTCGGTTCTTCCAGAGTTAACAGGCTTAAATCTTTACGTTTGGGTAGCAACTGCTCCCAGGTTGCTAAGACAGACAAGTTGTGAAAAAGAAACGGAACAGAAGTTTTATATAAAACGCTGAATTGACATACAAAATGCACAGCTACTGTGTTTTAGCTTGTTTATCCTCCAAAGCTCCTCAGGCATACAGACCCACTCCTCCTCCCTCAACCACACTCCCGGCGATTTGAACTTGTTATAAACGTAGCTTTGAGAAAGTTGCCACTTTACGGAAACCTTCACTTTAGAAATTAAGAAAAAGCCAGGAAAATGAACAATTCTTTCGAAATTTCTAATATTTGTGTGTTGAGATCATTAGATTGTATCTGTTGGAAAAGAGCATCGTTATTTTGTACCAAAGTTCAATTACTCCATTATTGCCGAGCTGTTGAGGTCTAGACTCCTCGAAAAGAAGAGCGGGTTTTTGTAAATGATGTGAAAGCTGTATCATCGGGCTATATCAGTGCTAATAATGCTATATTCAATGTTAAACCTGCATTCAAAACTAAAGGAATTACATATGAATAAAGGGGTATCATAAGCATTTACAACTGATATATACTATTTCAAGCTTTACCATTTTAACGTAGTACTTTCCTTCTCGCCCTCCCCTCCCCTCCAAACGAGTAGATTAAAGAAGAAATCTTAAAAAAGTACTTATGACATTATTTCAACAGGAAGTCTTCCAGCTCATCAAAGAAAAAGGTTAGTGTAAATGTTGACAATGGCTTTCGAGACGACTGGCCGTCTACGACTTGACCGTGCATCATACAGACCGTACATCATACAGTTTACATACATGGCGAAGAAAAAGTGGTGAAATGAATAGATCATAACATCTTACTTGATAACTGTTTCGATTCTTTAAATTACTATAATCTATTTTTATGGATGCCGTGGACAACCGCTATAGTGTTGGTTACCAGGAAGGAAGAACAATCCAATATTGGGGAGGGGCAAGGGAGTGGATGTTTCAGCGACTTGTCACTAGCTACAGCGTTGCATTTATCGTGGCTGCTATAAGGCACAGCTACTATAACAAAGGTTTCTGTTGTTCCGCTTTGAATCCTTAATCAGGAAGAACCAGGCCAAGGCGGTAAGATGATTGAATTGGCCAGTTTTCTTAGACGGAGATATCTCACAACATACAGGTAAAGAAAGTTGTTGAATTCGCAGGTTTTGTTTCGAACCTGTAACTATTTTGTCGCTGGAAACAAAGCATACTTGTGGCATTTGATTTTAAAGAGGAAATGACTACATAGAAACTGAAAAGTTTGTCCATATAATTATAATAACGATCGCTCTTAAAAACGTCACCTTAATTTGAAGATTTGAGGTACATGTTTTTGACAAGGACTTTTTGCCTTTTTTTTTTTTTTTTTACGTACAAAAATAAAAAGCTCACTAGACGTATTTTATAGTTTGAAATGCATCTTGCCAATGTCCATCTTTGTGTTAAGTGATAAATCGAGCCATAGTAAACTCCTGTCTTGGTGCCAGCTAGAGATTTTCATAAAACAACTCTCATTACTAAATTGTTATTTACTGATTCCATCTTAATATCAGTATGCATATTCTCCGTACTGTTCTCTACACATTTCCTGAGGCGCTGACGAGGAAAATTCGTTTAACAAGAGCTTCTTTAGCTGGAGATCATTTCCTCTAATCTTGTGACCTTAAAGTATGATTCAGATGTGATATTGTATGGAGAAAGTAAGTGCTGGTCTCCCTCAGAGTTCAAATGGTTAACAAAGTGTCCGTTTATTTGTTCTTCAGATTGTGGAAAGATTGGATATCAGTACTCTTTTTGTCTTCTTTGGAAGCGACGTTGATTCAAGGCGACAAAAGCTCATTTTTGTTGACCATAACTGTAAGTTACTCGTTGTAATGGCAAGCTGGGCCATTTGATTGTAAACAATTTCAGTATTTCCAACTTGTCTTGAAAATTTTGTGGTGCCTTTGCAAGACAAGTTACTTGAGTGGCAATCTAGAGTTTTCTCGCAGTTTATTTGGTCTAAAGAAGGGGTAGGATAGGTTGCCGGGAGTAAAATTCTCGAGCGTGGTGTTCCTGACTGAAAATTATTAAAAGCGTTTACATTCGGCCGCGTCAGTGAAGCACAGCTTCATTTTGCCTCGTTTCTCTGAAATCGCAACGTTTGGTAACAACTGAAACACAAATATTAGTCCTCGCAAAATGAATGGATAAGAATCACTTGACAGGCTTTCAAGTCAGGCTCTTTTTTCATTTTTTCACGAACATATTACGTACGACACAGCCGAAAATATCGGGACGCCTTTGACTCGGATTTGTGAATTCAGAATTTCAACTTGATGATCAGCGAGCACACCGTGTTCCCCTGTGAGTCGTTTAGTTACCGTTAGTAGTACTATAATGTGATAATTGTATAAAGCGGATAATGATTCTATATTTCGAATTTTGCAAAGGAGTCGTTCTTTCCATAGAACTGGGAATCAATCAAAATTGAAGAGGAAACGGAAGAAGGGAGGAAGATAGAGTCCATTATAAAAGTTCCTTACCAGGTATTTGTTGTTGATCGAAGGTTCTTAACGTTGTAAGATTTCTTTAGTTTTAATGGGTGGTGTACCTTTACCCGTAGGTGTCTTCTTATGTTATGTCTTTGCTGTTCAGTCTATGCCAAGAGCTCAACAGAACTGGTGCGCACACCGTACAAAGGTAACGTGGTGGCAATTGTACATACTCATTTGCTAAAGCCGGATGTTCTTTTCCTTGTATTTCCATTAAAGAAAAAAACGTTCGTATTCAAAACCAAACTTCAGAGCTATTGCCGTAGCTCAGTGACAAACTGACACCCGAGAGTCCATAAAGTGATTCTTTTAATAGAGTGTTATGCTCCAGAAACCATACAGTTTTCATCTCCACTATTTGAAAGTAAATTTGAAATTATCGCATTGTTCTTATTTTTAAACGCAAAGTGCAACAAAACCTTAGAAGATGTGCGTGATATTCGACTGTGGACACCACCATCTCGAATCTTGCTTATCAACCTCGCTGCTTACCTGTGACTTAGCAGGGTTATCTAAATCGAAGCATGGTGGTTTTTTTGCTTGTTTGTTTGTTTGTTTTGTTTTGTTTCTGTTTTTGCGGGAGCAATTGTTTGCGACCACCTCAGCCACGCTGTAATTTTATCGCGTATAAAGAAATGCCGCTCAAATTCAAAGCCGCAAATTTTGAAGGCTCACAGTAGACTGTATCCTTTCAGTTTTCTTGCTACCGTCGTCTCGGATGAAAACGAGTTCTAGCTTGACGACATATGATATTTTACTTTAATGAATACCTGGAACGTTGTTGCCTTTCTAGGACATTGCTCAAAGAGCTGGTGACTAGCCTGGCGATTGGGGTTCTGTCAACACACGAGAAATTAGTCAAGGAACACAAATCGAGTTTAACTCAAAACCGCGCCCTACAGATACTGTTTGACCTCAGATTCATAACAACAATCCTCATGGGACGAGCCGAGGATGATGATTCGGAGTTTTCAAAGCGGCTGGAACATGTCATAGACACTTTAGAAAGCTGCATCGATCCGTTTGATCTAGATGTGTTTTCTCCTCACATGACAACAAATGTCAACCGACAGCTTCAAAAATGCGGGGTGAGTGCAAGGCGCAGATAGAATCTTCTCGTGGGGTTTCACAGTCACAATTTCTGCGCTCCTTACGTGAATTGACGCATTCATGCCGCGAGAAGGACCGTTGAATGAAGTGTCTAATTCTGAAAAAGATCGATTGATTATCCTTCGGATTCGTGGATTTACGCAAACATAGATAAGTGTGAAGTATTCATACAGTGAAATGTAACTTCAGATACTTTCACATGTAAAAGCCAAAAGGGGTAATGAAACGGGAGTGATAGACGCATGCTGAGAACCCTAACATGGGACCTTCCATGGGTAAATGATTTTTTTTTTGTCCGTCAGATGAAGGGTCACTTTGCCGACACGTCAACTCGCCGACATCTTTAGTGACTTGATGACAACACTGGTCAACTCAATACATTCACGGAAGGTAGCTAACCTGTTTGTTCAAATGATATCAATCAGGATGTCGGCGTTTTGACCAATGGTGTCGGCGAGTTGGTGATCGTTGAGTTGACACGTCGGCGAAGTGACTGGGTACCTTACGTTAATGGCTTTAGTTTTGATTGTGCTCCTATGAAAGCACTCGGAGCAGAATTTAGACAGACATTTTCTTACCCACTCAAGTCAAAACTTCACTTGATGTCGTATTTCGTGAGACAAAATTTTCCTTCATGAATATTTTGTTTTTAGGTTTTATTTGGCGTCTTATCAAGTCTTGACAAGCACTTTTCTCATTCCTTTGGAGTTACGCAACGTCCTTCCCCAGGCTCCCAAGACCAACACAACGTTATGCCGTTGGCTCCCAATCCACCTCGATTTAACTTGTTGCCCCTCAGTTCCTATTCAAGCGTGGGACCTGCGTACCAAACTGGAGATCACAACGACAGCCACCAAAAGGTATACCTGGAAAATTGCATATTTGTTTTTCACTTTGTTTGTTTTGTTTGAAACTCAACAAACTGAAATATTGAAACAGACCCAGCAGAACCACTGGGAGGGAAGAAATATCAAAGCTCCCTCTTGATTACATCCAAAGAAAGATTCAAACTAGGAGCGGTGAAAGAGTACAGTGCCGTTATATATTTCTAAAAATGTGACCTCCAGTCTTCATCACAATTTATGCATCCTTGAATATTCAGTCTGAAATATTTTAAGCTCTTCATTAATTTTAATCTTAACTTTTTTACCCTGTCACTCCCAGAACTGATTAAAATGTAACTTTCTTTTCTAACATCCGTACGTTATCCAGCCAACAGGTAATGAGAATGCTCAAACTTATCAGGTAGAAGTTGTTATCTTGATCCAACACTAAATTCACTTGACCAATTTACAACAAAGGGGAGAATTAACAATCAGATCTTGATAGCTAAAGATTTGTTGGAATCGCGACCCTAGCGGCCACGGTTCCTTTCCTAAAGAAATATTCTACGAGGTGAAAACTGTCCAAAATATTTAGACTTAGCTGGTAGGCATTTTATTACCTTTATATCCATTCCCGTTCGATAGGAGGCGTACTGCTGTTTTGAGTTGCTCATTTAACAATTTTATTTTTTCTCATATAAAAGCTTGTTTTATTCGTGTATTTAAGTTAAAAAGTTATGGGATGGAAATATACCGCTAAAATTCAAGCGTAATCGTGGCTGGCTTAGTCTTAAGAATTTTCAGGGATAAATTTGACTGTAAAACCATAGCTTGTGTCTTCAGACAATCCTCTTGTATCACTTACTTTTATCTCATTCTTTTTCAGGAGTCGTTGAACCAACATGAAGATTCACAGCAGGTGGTGACTCGCACAGCGTTATTTAAACACTATCAGTTTTTTAACTCAGGCGTGGGTTATGTGAAGGGCTGAAGACAAGACGTTGCCATGTTTGGTAATACTTTTAGACATTCGACTGTTGAAGTAACAGATGTGGATTCTCGCTTATGTGATGAACACTTTTCCGAAAAATTCAAGATATAAGGAACTGGCTCTTAACAACTACACATGATTTAAAAAAGTGTTTATAATATTCGGGGATGTAGCTTTTGTGGTGAAAAAAAAATTCTGGGTAAAGGCCCCAGAAAGAGGTTGGTCTAAGGGTTGAAGATATCCAGGATAAAAATCGCAGATTACAGCAGAGATGAACTGATCCAACTCCGTGTCCGTTGTAACTGTAAAGGTCTTGAAAGAAGTTAGGGACATCTGCGGTTCGCGAAGACGGAACTCAAATTTAGTTGTGTCTTTTTCCGTACAGAATATTATATTTATGTTCGGTCTAACCTCAATTAGTTGTCATTGTCGTGCTTTATAACTTAGGAACATGTGGCCTCGTTATGGCGCATGTGAAAAGGACATTTACACCGGTCCGTGGCCAAATGCCTTGAGCTTGTGAGTCAGTTTAGTCGGTTCCAATTTGATTTTTTATATTTGCGTCCTATTACATAGATCAAATACTATTCGAATTTTTACTTGGAAAAAAAAACACACCAACACAAAAGAATAATACACAGATAGCCGTTACAATATAACTCATCGTGCGTAGCTGAAACACTTGACATCGGCTAGGAAACTGATTGTGACATCCATTACTTAACAATTTGATTGGGAGGTTGTTGTGGTTTGGTCATGAATCAATCTTCCGCGCTTCATTATTCATTCAAGATTCATTCAGTATTCCACCTGTTTCCGACCTAATGGTTGGGTCAGTCTTTGGTTTGAACTTAACAGTATCAGTTAATTGTAAGCATATATCATTGAACTGCCACGCACCAGACGTACCACGATGATTCTTCATAATTCTAGAAGCAAAACCCCGATGCTATCCCGATAGGAGTTCCTAAATTGTTTACCTCCATCGAAGAGTCGTTAACACACAAAAAAAATTGAAATCTGGCTGACATGTACGTTGATAAAAGATTGAGACTTTTTTAATGACGTCATGTACCATAAGAGACATGCCTCTTTTCAAATATAGTGACGATATATATTAATCGATGACGAAGTCCAAAACCACCCATTTCGATTAAAAAAGACATTTTCCATTAAATGACCGTCATGACTTGACTGCACGTGAAAAGGACAGTGGCTGGTGACAGCATGCAGTTAAGGAAGTGACCTCATGGTTACCTGACTCGGCACATGTAATGACTTCCTTTTTATGACATTGTAAAACAAGGAGGCTGTGTCATGTAAAACAGAGGACCGGACATTTTATCAAATACACGCTCATTGTAGCGCGAAGCCCGGAAACAAATATTCTTAAACAACGACACAAGGGCCGGCATTGAGTGGGTCTCTAAGACAACAACCTTTTCAGTGTTTTATGTTCAGATTAAAGATTTTCAAACAATGCGGAACGTGGTTGAATGGAAAGAAATGGAAAATTCGGCGATACGTACGTACTAAATAAAGCCGTTAGGTAATTTTTATCGAAAAGAAAAGCATTGAAAATAGCAACCAGTCACGTAAGCAACTTTCTAAAGACGAAAATGACGAATGTGATAAGTGGCAAATGGAGTCTGATAATGGCAACTGACGACATAAGACAACAGCCGTGCAATTCGTTGTTCATGAATTTCTGTTTCAAGTCGCACTCTAAAAAAATTCATTGAATTCTTTCGGTCATAGTTGCATCCCCCCAAACCCATTGAAAGAATGAACCGTCCAAATTAAAAATTTTTGTATTGATTCTCTTGGAGAAATTATCAATGTTTCGTCTGCAATTAACAACCGGATTGTAGCTTTGGGTTCCATTTAAACTTCTGCTGTTCCTTTGATGTTGCCCTGGGAGGGAAGGTGAAAGAGAAGTTACCTACAAGGCAGGGGCTTCAATGAAAGCTGGTTACCTTCAGTCTACTGTCGCTAATAAGATCTCTTACCGCCGTCTGATTAGCCTCCGAGGCTATCAGTCGTGTTTTGTTTTCGCCTTACGTTACCTTTTATATCAGCTATTACATCGTACCATTGGCTGCCGCTAATGGAAAAAGTTATTGAAACTCTCACAGGGGTCAGTTGAAGTTCACTATACCAGGATTTCTGTGGTTTGAAGTTGTGGGAACATTGACAAATGTCTAGTGCACGTAAAATGGAGCGTGGGGTTTTTTGTTAAGTTTTGTCCGGTACATCTTTCAGTTATCCATTTGATTGGTTGATTTGTTTTTCAGTACTCTCTCACTTCCCCTGGGCGTTACTTTTGAATCAGGAGTACCGACCTGTCGGGCGCGGTTGATCACAATAAAAAAGAAATCAGACCATTGTCAGGGAATAACTGCTTTCGTAAATGCACGTTCTCACCGCTATGGAATCTTCAAACTCGTTAGAGAACTGCTAAAGGAAAGTAATATACGTAAGGAGCTTATCATTGTGTTGAATGATTTTTACAGACGGCTGGTTTCGCTAGCATGAGGAAAACTTGCGTGCCAAAATGGCAAACCTTCGATTTTCAGAAGGACTTGTCTTTACCCTGTGCTTGGGTAACATGTAGCTCCGTTACTTAAAGCGTTTTTCCTACGAACAGCACTCATTCATTTTAGTTTCAGGCTACTCGAAACACTTCTGCTTCACACGCACTGAGTTGCGTAATGATGCTGAAGAGCATATACTTTGAAATATGCAATGATAAAGGAATGAGATTGCTTCTAGTTCAAATGCTGATTCAAAAAATGACAGAGGAGCCTGTGCCTGAAATGTTGTCACTAACATTTTTCAGAGAAGAACTTGGTATCGCCCGAATCCATCTCACCTTTGAACAAGCATCACTCACCTTCACTACTCATAACAGACACAAACTCGATTCTCTCAGGCACTGAGTTGTCAGAAAACTTTTCGCTGCCGTGTAAGGACGTCTTTTGAAGCTCCTTTGATTCTTCCTTCAAAATGGAAAATTGTGATGAACAGCAATGGGCAGAAGGAAAGAGAAGAAGTGGTCCGCCAATAACTGTCTGTTTACAGGGGTGCGGTCATCCGTGACCTGCAAGGAAACTTCGATCACAAGTTTGAATGATCATAAGATCAGAAAATAGAAATCAGTTGACGATCTCATTGGAAGCTAGTCTTTTATTAGCTTCCGCGAATAGACGTTTATATAAGCTAAGTATAGGGAGCCATCAGTTTTCTTAGCAATGAGTGCCCTGATGCAACTGAATTCGTGAATAATATACAAGTTGAGATTGCGCGAGTTTCGAACACCTTCTTAGGAGAACTAAATCGAGTTATTTTAAATTTCTCTCTGTCTGAATTTAGCCTAATTTGTAGAATACAGCTCGGCATTATCTGCCAATCAATTTTGTTTAATGTCCCGTGACAGTTGAAGAAGACGGGTGGCTCACTGTGGAAACCTGATTTTTTAGGACTGTTACGGGAATGGATAGCGATTTATTTTCCCTAAAGTGAAAACTATCACAATGTGTAAAACTTATAAATGCCCATAGACAATTGCTGTTTAAATCCTATTTCCACATTTTACATTCTTTACAAAAAAATAACGTCTTGGCCATTTTTAGGTCTATCACCATTACGGTTTTCTTTAGCAAAAATCACTCAGTTCGAGAGTTGTCGTCTTTGTTTCTATCGTCTGTTGCAGTTTGTTACGTAACTAGTAAGATATTTCTTCAAGTTTTGTAGCAGACCTGTATACAGCTTCTTGGCTTTTATACAGACACGGAGCTGGGTTGACGTCAATACACTTAGAGCTCCGAAGAAATCGCACGTGGAAAGTCCAATATAACAATTGGAAAGAACGTCCTAGATTAATATCATACGCCAAAAAATGACCTTGGTTCTACATACCAGAGGAGATACGACTCAGTAGCAAAGGAAGTTTGGAACTAACGCTTAAGTCACGAATTTCCCTTGCGGGGGTTGTAATTAGAAATACCAGCGCCACGTCAAGATCTTTGCTAATTAAGCTCTATATTCAACGCAGTGCTCATTTTGTCAAGCTTAATAGAAAGTTTGATTATTAATTACCCATTAAGAACAAACTTCTGGGCAGTAGAGTTAGTGTAATAAATCTACATTACGTAACTGACTGAACGGCTATCTAAGGTCGTAACCGTTAATTTGCATGATATGTGGGCAATACAAACATTATTCATTCCTTTCTGAGTTTTTGTTACAACTTTGGATCGCGAGACATGCTGGAGGTAGAAAACAAAATGAATTAAGTTAAGATGAATTTTCAGAAGTTAATTGCTCGAAACGGTCAACTCGCACCTTCTTGTGAAAAGAGCCTTTATTTATTGTCTAGTGGCGACCCGAGTGGTCCATTAATACCCGTCAAAACACTTTTTGTGGATCCAATCAGCTCTGTAAATGAATTCAGAGACTTAGGTTTTCATTTAACTAGATGCAGAGGTACTGTGAAGGGTGAATAAAATTAAAAAGAGCCTTAAGTTTGACAGGATGTTGAATGAAAATTAATTACCCTACAAGTGATGTTAAACTGTGTGTCCAGGTTTTGTTACGAACTCTCCAATTTTGTTAAAACTATATTTCTAGGCCAAGATCACAACAACAATCGCCTTTAGTACTTGAGTTTCATCCTTTTATTATGCAGTGCCGTTGATGGTTTCTGTGGTTTTTTCGAACAATGTGTCGTAAACACGACGGTGAATCACGCCTCCTCCACTTAATTCCGCATACGATTATCGACAAAGCTTTCCATAATAGTAATCTGATAGCAAGAAACATCAAAGCTTACCGCATAAAAGGCGATCGTGCTAAAAGTGGCCATTGCTTGTTCTAAAAACCTCATTCATTCCCCTATGTAATGTAGCCGATTGCACCTACTCAAGCTATTTTTAGATAATCTTTGATAAAACTTGATGTTTGGCAAGACAAAGCTTAAGATGGAAAATTCGAGGAAGAAGTAGCGAAGGCACAGCATTCGCAAAACAAAGTCTTTCTTTACTTTTTGAAACGGCCGCGAGATGAATTGTATATCAGGCAAACTACATTAATTAGTTCTGTTTTGTGTTTCATTCATTTTATGAAATATCTATAATTAAGAGACTCACAATTGGAGACTTCAAGGATAATGTTTTTATTCTCAATGATCTGTGGTCGTGTTCCCCATTCACAGCAGTTTGTATCATGTTTGCTGAAGTTTTTTTGCGGCATTAGATGTAATAGAAGATAATGTTTCGTTTTCAGAGATATCATGCAAACTTTTAAATGCAAAAGAACAAAATTTGATGTTTTAAAAAGAAAATTCTGTGTTCAGCCTCCTATCAGCAATATTTTCCAAGGACACGAGAGCTAAAGCAAAACGCCTGCATGCACCTCC